GCAGGGCCCACCGCTCGTGATGGCAAGGTGACTTGGGGGTTGGCGATTGGCGTGGCGATGGTTGGTTCAATAGTATCCACTGGTGCAGCTGTGTGTGACACAAGGGGGAAGGGTAGAGGGGTTGTGGATGTACTGGATCTGTACTAATCTGATTGTAATGGGGATTGGAAAAAATCAGCGATATAGATATGATATTCCAAAACTATCGTGGAAACTTACCAGATCGGGCAATGGAAGTAGAGGCGCCTGACGTTAGTGCAGATGGTGTACCGCCATGTTGCATTGCATCCGCCGGCCCGGTTGACGGCAGCACCGCGCTATCCGGCAGAGAGTCCGGCGCGTCGGAGATCCCTGCTGTGGCCTGACCGCCATTAGCTGTAGATGGAATGGTGTTGCCCGTCATTGCAATAGGGGTGCTTCCCACAGTAGTCTCCAGATTCACCGATTCACGCTCCCGGAAAATCTTGTCGGCAAGATCATACCAGGCCGGAAATCCTTCTGGACGACCTTCTCCTGGGCGCTTCAAGGCATTGCTCCAACATAGCCACGTGGCTTCCATGCAGCGCAGCTTCGGTCAAAGCGCGGAAACCACGCCGCGCCACCTTGGATTACGCACGAGAAGGTCGCGATGCAGCTTGGCGTGTTGGCTCTGGCCTTGCATTCCGCGCATGCCATTCTAGTCGTCATGCATGTTGAAACGCTCTTGCATCAGCAGAAGCTCCTTGTCCTTGCTCAATCGAGGTAATGTGGTCCTGGTCGCGGTAGATGTAGTGGCGGTGGCTGACTCGGTGTTAGTACGGCCTAAGTTGGGGTCGAGCTCGTCGTCGTCATTGGCGGAGCATACTTCAGGGACCTCCTTGCCTACCACATAGTCTTTGTCAATCCCATAAGGTGAGTCTAGGCGGGGAAGGTTGTTAACTTACCGGCTTGGATTACGCTCCCACGGGTTAATGTGAGCATGGGAAGACCTGCCTCGCGTTCTAACGGGTGGCGGCTGTGGGTCGTTTGTAGATTGTTGAGTCCTTAGGCAAGTGCCTGGCGTGCCGCCATTGTGGCTAGCCTGGCTGTTCAGGTCGTTGCTTTCTCTGTTAGCCATAGTCTGCTTGTGCTTGAACGAGTTTGGCTTTGATGTTTAATTGCGGCCTGCCTTGTGTGTAATGGACTCACAATGTTAGTAAAGCGGGGAAATGTTCAGTAGTCCAGACGGTGTGGCGCGTCGCAGATTGGTTTTGCGTAACAAGGCACGTCCCGTTCTGTAAAGGTGTAACTACGAGTTATAAACCCGTTCAACGAAGCTGAAGGCGCCGCTCGAAATGTTGGTGTGACACGTTGCGTCGTATGGGTGAGTTGGCGACGTCGCGTAGTGACTGTAGTGATAACTGGTCGACATAGTGGTCGACTTTTGAGTCGAGAGCACGTCGAAACTTTGTCAAATGCTGAACCGGCCATCTAAGTGTTTACGCGTGGCTGAATTTGACGACATTCACGAAATACTAGGCAAATGTGTTACTTTCGCTAAAAACCAACCAACCGGATTTTTCCGAAAACGGATATGACGCACCCTAAGAGCGCGCGGAACTCATGATTGTAAGGGCGTGGCACATATTTTTGGCCAACACATTTTGGCCGAAGTTTTGGCCGAAGTAGAAGTTCGCCGAGATTCACAGTAAACGTCCTGTAAACAACCACTCAAAGGGCTGTGACAACACCTGATGAGGCCAGTTGAATTTTTTGGTACCACCTTGATGAATCCGAGCCAGGCGCATGTAATCCAGAATTATGCAGAGCTAGGATACACATGGCACACTTGAAAACATGACTTAATACTCATTTCACGCAACCCAGTCTGGCCCGCAAAAACCAGTTTCATTTAGCATATAATAGCTTCACCCTCTTGCGCAGCTGTTGGGGGCAGTGATGCATGAAATATAAAACAAACTCATGCAATAATACCGAGTTGGGATCTGGGAAATGTTCACATGTGTTTGGCTGCTCAAGTCACCACAAATTCGGCCATCGACGAAACCCGTTTTACCCACGTGTCCAACTCGTGAGCCTCACAATCTAATTACTTTCGCAATATTCAGCCTGTCGAATGTTGGCCAAAAACATGTGCCACGCGCTAAGGATTTTTTTGCATTCCTTACTGCACATCTCAACACAAAAATAGGGCCATCCACTTTTTTTTTTTTTTCGCACTACTAGACTGGCCCAAGTCGGCCTACACTTTGACACTAGCCCGAACCTCACTACAAGCATTGCTCTGGCTAGCTTGTGTGTACTGCGTTACTATTTGTTAATTATATTACACGATTTATCATTGCCTACAGCTTGTTAGTATACTAGTTTAGTTATTAATACCAGCTGCTGGTGGTGCACACTCTCTTCTCCCCTTCCGTAAATCTTGTATGCCTCCCATATTAAAACCCTCTTGGACCAATCTCATCTCACGATACCTTCGCTATGCTCCCAATCCGCTAATCTCCTAGGTAATAGCTTAACGCTATTTGCATGTTTCGCTATAAACAATCGCTCGTGCCTTCACTCACATTTGGTTGCTGCTGCTGCTCCTTGTTTGCCAACTTAGTGCAATCCTCGATTGTTCGATATATTGCAGCCATAATACTTTCCTACCAGAGCCACTTTCCTTCAAATCGCACATTTTTCCGCAACTAACAGAACTTTGCTTTCAATTTTTACCTCAAAGAGAATTACGTCCCTTAGCTTCCTCAAAGCCGCTGTCCCCGTGCTCTCTCATAAGCACGTAAAGCCATGACTCCACCCTAGCACCTAAGCCGGCCGATGTCCTTCGACATGGCGGATCATATTTTGCCAGCCACACGCAGGAGTGCTTGGATGAGCTGATGCGCCAACTGTGCAAAAGAGTCGAAGGAGTTGCAACGCTAACGGGAGAACGCGAGTAACTTAAAAACGACATCAACCGAGCGCAACAAACGCGGGCATTAACACAAGGAAATACTAGCACTGGCAGCATCCACATTGTCCCGACACAATAGCGTGGGACAACATTAGAGCACTGCTAGTGATGGCATCGCGCGCAACGAAGTTCATAACGACCATGGAACGGCACATCCCGGAACAACAAGCACGGCAGGAACCAAACGAAGAGTTTGTACTTTCATCGTCGATACCACTCAACCCGCAGCATCCGCCATGCTTCGACCTGAGTCACCTGGATGGTCGACGGTTCAGGCATGAATCTTTGCCATGAATGTTATTTTAGACGCCAACTTCGTCTCGTCGGATGCTGCAAAAACCCGATATGATGTGTCGTTGCTGCGATGACCCTCCATGGACTGGTGACGCATCATTGTCACAAAGCCGAGCGACTATGAGACTCTATCGCCACATGAAGGACCTTATGGACCCTGGGCACCGTGGTATTTTGTTAAGGTCACCCAGTATCACACGAGGGGCACGTAGTGTGCGGATCTACACAGGAAATTTGATCCGATTGCGGCGTCAATTTCCATGAGCTAGAGGCTGCGCACTTCGCGCTAGCTCGGTTCTGTTAATGATTACACCAGCGGATTTTTCTGTCAATGATTACACCAGTGGACTTTCTCATTCTATGAGTAGATAGGTGTGAGAGGTCTACTGGAGATCCCCAATTGATCCTATGGAAGGGTTACAGGAACGTTGGCCCGGGGGGTTGTAGGCGCACTCACCCGCTATACAAATAAGCTATTTTATTCTAGTTAATAGTGGCTGGGATTCTTACATGGTATCAGAGCGAAGGACTTAGGTTCGAATCCCGGTGTGTGCGCCACGGGCATCCCAGTGCGGGGGGGTGTCAGAGGTCCACTGGAGATCCCCGATTGGTCCTAGGGAAAGGTTATAGGCTTGTTGGTCTAGGGGGTTATGGGCGCACTCACCCGCTACACAAATAAGCCCTTTTATCCCAGTGGTTAGTGGCTGAGATTCTGACAGTAGGCTACATGCACAAAGCTGAGTGCATCGATTGCTATGTCGACAGTCGAAATAATAAAATCGCACAAGAAATCCAGTTTCGCGGCGTTACGCTGTTCAACAAAACTCTCACCATGGCGGAAACTTTAATTCCTCCGCCGATCATGATCGGGATCCTAGAACAACAGTTTGGGGCACCGGCTCGTGAGATGAATGAGCACGATACGATACGCGCCATCGTCGCGGATGCCGCTGCCCCACCCTTCAAAGGGCGCTGGTTCGCGCGAAATTGGCCGGGGAACCGCAAAAGCGAATGCGCGGAAGCTAGGCGAAAGGAAGGATCGATCAGCAGAAGCAGACTTGGCAGCAGGGAAATGTTAGAAGTCAGTAACAAGCGATAAAGTAAAACCATATTCAAATTAATGTTAACTACTTTTGTGCCACAATCATTTGACTCTTTTATATGAAGGCCTGAATCAGGGCTATCAACGGATATAAATTTCCCAGCATGACGAAGTGCACTTGAATAAGTATAGAAGAAGATTGTATAACTATCTGGTTCAATGTTTTTAGGGACAATATGAATATTCTTATGACTGCATAAGGGAAAATATAATTGGGTAAACAAGGAGGCCCAGCATATTTAGGTGCCCTCGACGCCTCTGTCCGGGGATTCAGGGTAAAACGCGAACCCCCAACCTAGCCTGATCTTCAAGCAACCCCACCCGTTTGCTCTCGCTTTCACTCATCCAGTCCAGCCCAAGTTTCGGCTGGTCAACGCGGACCAATTACCGTACGCTACAAGGGAGGGACCAAGCCAAGCCGAGCCAAGCCTTCCAGAGCACGCATGTACACGCAACGCAAGTCAACCTCGCTCAGAGCCCATGTGAGCTGAGCAACGAATTTACGGCATTCCCAGAGTAGATAAATCTGCGGACTTGTCGAATATCTTTCCCGTATTCGTGAATCTGGGAGCCTTCCCAGATCTCTTCGAGGCTGTTTCCTGCCTAATCCACACATAGAAGCTACGGTCATTTTCTTCTAATTGTCCACTCCCACAGATATCAGCCATGGGGACTGAGGCCGCCACCTTCCTTTCAGGCCCACTTCCAGTAGACACGAGCCACGTCCTACACTGCCCTGCCTCGGCCCTGCCTTTTCTTCAGGAGCTGCGTGCGCGTTTTCCCGTCAACGAGGATGACCCTTCCAAGAAACTGCCAGAGGTTCAAGCCGTTCCGTCCTCTGAGCACGCGGACAACGCGACGCTGTCCAAGAGCACCGACAATGCCGTTCCGTCCTCTGGCGACATGAAAATGGAATCTGTCGCAAGCGAGCCGGAGCGCGGCCTCACGGAGAATTTCGCGGATACGTACGTGTCATCGGGGAACGCGTGCGTGGATTTTCTCTTCCACGTGCTTCCGCAGACTGACCGCGACGGTGCGCACCGGCGGCTCGAGGCCGCGTGGGCGGAGGACCCAGCCACGGCGCTGCGGCTGGTGATGCAGCTGCGCGCGGTGCGCGGCACGGGCAAAAGCGACCGCTCCAGCTTCTTCCACTGCGTCACGTGGCTTTATCAACACCACCCGCGGACGCTCGTGCAGAATCTGTGGCTGGTTCCGGAATTCGGGTGCTTCAAAGATCTCCTGGAGATCGTGCGGCTCGCTCTGGCGGAGGAAGGCGTTGATGCCACGGAGGATGGTGCCGTGGCTTGGAATGGCACGAATAAGGGAAAGAAGATGAGGAAGCAGCGCGGCGGGAAGGGGAGAAAGGGCGGCAAAGGAGACAGAAAGCAGAAGAGTCGGGAGGAGCGGGTGGCGGAGAACAGGCGGCAGATGGCGGAGGAGAGCGAGCGCGCGGCGGTTGTGCGCAAGGAAGCGCACGCGCGGAGGGCGGCGGCGGTGGCGCACGCGTACGAGACGAGCGAGCGGCTGCGCGCCGTGCACAACGCGGTGGCGGCGATTTTTGCGGCTGCGCTTAAGGCGGACCTGGAGACGATGCGCGCGTTCGAGGAGGGGCGCGCGCGGAAGACCGCTAAAGGGGGAGGGGCGAAGGAGGAGGAGAAGAAGCAGGGAAGCGAGAAGGCAGAGGCAGGGGAGAAGGTTATGGAGGAAACGGAGGCAGAGGGGGAGGGGGTGAAGGAAGGCAAAGAGGAGAAGAGTGAAGGCGAGAGTGGTGGAAAGGGCAAGAAGAAGCGCAAGTGGATGGGGAGGCCGGCGCCGAGGCTGTCTCTGGCAGCCAAGTGGGCGCCCTCCTCTGGCAAGTCGTACGATCACTCCACACTGCTCACCTCCTCCATCGCCCTCCTCCTCTTCCCCCCCTCCTCCTCTTCGTCCTCCCCCTCCTCTGCTGCTGCTGCTAAGTCTGATGCTGCTGATTCCGGAATGGACGGTGGAGCAGCAGCAGGCGGGGGGGGCGGGTACGTGCGCGTGGCAAAGGAGCGGCTGCAGAGGGAGGTGCTGGCGCCGCTGCGGAGAGTGCTGGAGGTGCCCGAGGTGCACATGAGCAGCGGGCAGTGGGAGCACGTGGCGTACGGGCGAGTCCCATCCGTGTGCATGAACAAGACCCGCAAGCTCTTCCTCTCCCACGACGAGACGCGGTTCAAAGAGTACCTGGAGGATGTGAAGGGCGGGGAGGTGAAGATTGCTGCAGGGGCGCTGCTGCCGCATGAAGTGGTGAAAGCAGCCATGGAATCTGCAGAGGACAGCGATGATACAGTGGGCGAGCTGCAGTGGAAGGCCATGGTGGCTGATGTGCGCAGCAAGGGGTCCCTGGGGAACAGCATGGCGGTGTGCGATGTGTCGGGGAGCATGGCGGGCACACCCATGGAGGTGGCCATTGCACTGTCGCTGCTCGTGAGCGAGGTGAGCAGCGAGCCGTGGAAGAACCACCTCATCACCTTCTCCGCGCAGCCCATAATCCACCACGTGCAGGGAGAGACCCTGGTGGAGCGCGTGAGGAGCACACAGCGCATGGACTGGGGCTACAACACGAATTTCCAGGCGGTGTTTGACCTGCTGCTGTCCCGCGCACAGCTGTACCAGCTGGACCCGGCCGACATGGTGCAGCGCCTCTACGTGTTCTCCGACATGCAGTTTGACGAAGCACGTGGTGCCTGTGGGGTTTACGGAGGTGGAGGCAGCGGGTGGGAGACGGACCATCAGGCGATTGTGCGCAAGTACACTGAGGCGGGTTACCCTGTGCCGCAGATAGTGTATTGGAACCTGAGGGGGGATGCTTGTGTGAGCAGCACGCCGGTGGCTGCAAGTGAGGATGGGGTGGCGCTGGTGTCTGGGTTCAGCAAGGGCATGCTGCTGGCGGTGCTGGAAGGCAAGGAGATTACTCCCTTGATAGTGCTCGAGGAGGCCATCAAGGGAAAGCTCTTTGAGCTCATTCAGGTTGTGGATTGATCACCACGAGCCGCGTGTTTGTTTGTTTCTTCTTTCCGCAAGTATCCCATAGCAAAATGTAAGGGGTACATTACCAGTATACCGTGTAAGGGGTATATATTTATGCAAACAGGTTCTATTAAAGAAAAAACAAACAGTTCAATGTTTAGATCCCCTCTGTTTGGCTCCTCTGCTCAGCTGCTTCTGCTGCTACTGCTACTGCTGCTATTGCTGCTGCAACGGCTGCCAAACATTTCACGAAATTACTGTTTCTCCATTTCTCCCAGCAGCCCGTGCGCTTCTGCTGTGCTTGCCATCCACTAAACTACTGCACCCAAGGAAGGAGAGTGAGGGAGCCAGGGGGGGGGAAGGAGGGGGGAGGGGACGACCAAACTTCACTTCACAGTAGGTATACTGAATAGGGATGCATGCAGTATCACGCCCCGGAAAGACCACGCACACAGTACAGAGTAAGCAGACATAGTAAGCAGAGGTCACACATACCAAGCCATGGCACCGATGCTGCTGCCCTCTGCTCCCCTCCCCCTAATCCTCCACACCAACACCAGCACCACCTCCCAGCACCCACGCCTCTCCACCACAGCACCACACGCACACCCCACATTGCACCGCACAGCACCGGCACAAACAAGCACACCCGCCTGCTCTCATGTGGGGCCACCGCTACCAGTGGCAGCAGCACCCCCCTGACTGCCCGTGCCCTGTGTTGTATTATCTGCCATGCTGGCAGCAATAGCGCGAGCCAGGTCATCCTCGTACTGCCTCTCTGACTCTGACCACCAGCGCCCTCCACCCTCTCCAGTCGCTCCTGCTTCTCTCACCGCCACCACCCCTTCCTCTGCTCCTGCTCCCGCTGCTCCAGCTGCTGCTGCTGCTGCTGCTGCTCCAGCTGCTGCTGCTGCTGCTGCTCCTGCTTCTGCTGCTGCTCCTGCTGCTGCTCGTGCTCCTGCTGCTGCTCGTGCTTCTGCTGCTGCTCGTGCTTCTGCTGCTGCTCGTGCTTCTGCTGCTGTCCCCCCTTCCCCAGAAGCCACACCTGCTCTGCTCGCTGGCCCCCCCAGCGCCTCATTCCCAGCAGCAGCAAGACTAGCAGCAAGCGCCCGAGCCAACTCCTCATCCTCCCCTCCCACCCCCTCTCCTCCTCCATGCACCCCCCATGCACCCCCGGCCAATCCACCACCACCACCACCACCCCTACCTCCAAACATCCCTCCCATCCCTCCCATCCCTCCCATCCTCCCCATCCCCCCCAGCTGCATCTCTCTCTGCTGCTCCGCCCGCACCTCCTGCTCCTCCCACTGCTTCGCCACAGCAGCAGCAGCCAGCTCGTCGCGGGCCTGGTCAGCCGTCACCCACCGCCCACACGCGGCGGAGGAGGAGGACGCGGGCGGGGGCGCAGGGGGGAAGGCGCCTGTGACGACAAAGATGGTCCAGCCCTCGGCGCGCAAAGAGGACAGGTACGCTGCCAGGTAGAACTGGCGTGGGGGAGATGAGGGGGAGCAGGGGGGAGCAGGGAAATGTGGAGAGCGGGAGGGGCAGGGTTACAACTTACAAGGAGGACGCTGAAGAATGTGGGGAAGGCGGGAAGAGGGGAAAAGGGCGAAAAGAGGGAGGGCCATGCACCTACACCCCCACTTTTCACATACCACCACGCCCCACGCACAACTGAGAGAGGTATTACGGGACAGCAAGCCCACCGTTCCCAGAAAACAGACAACCTGCCTAGCCTAGCTCTCGCCAGTCCCCCGACCCCACACCCTGACCCCATGCATTCATGCAGCGTTGCAAGCTAGAGCCATGCAGGCATCCCAACCTGTGGTCAATAGTGCAGGGCAGCGCACGCACCTCGGAGAGGTGCTGTGGCGCGGCGAGCAGGCTGTTGAAGTTGAACCAGTGCTCCCCCACCCTCCTCAGCGCAAACCAGTGCCGCTGGTCGTGCACCACACGTTGAAGGCGCGGGAGGGAGGGGAGAGAGGAGGGAGGGGGAGGGAGAGAGGGGGAGGGAGGGAGAGAGGGAGGGAGGGAGGGAGAGAGGGAGGAGGGGAGAGGGAGGGAGGGGAGGGAGAGAGAGGGGGAGGGAGGGAGAGGGAGGGGGGAGGAGAGGGAGGGAGGAGGGAGGGGGAGGGAGAGAGGGAGGGAGGGAGGAGGGAGGGAGAGAGGGAGGAGGGAGGGAGGGAGAGAGGAGGGAGGGAGGGAGGAGGGAGGGAGGGAGAGAGGGAGGGAGGGAGAGAGGGAGGGAGGGAGGAGGGGGAGGGAGGGAGGGAGGAGGGAGGGAGGGAGGGAGGGAGGGAGGGAGGGAGAGAGGGAGGGAGGAGGAGGGAGGGAGGGAGAGAGGGAGGGAGGGAGAGAGGGAGGGGGGAGAGAGGGAGGAGGGAGAGAGGGAGGGAGGGAGAGAGGGAGGGAGGGGAGAGGGAGGGAGGGAGAGAGGGAGGGAGGGAGAGAGGGAGGGAGGGAGAGAGGAGGGAGGGAGAGAGGGAGGGAGGGAGAGAGGGAGGGGGAGGGAGAGGGAGGGGGGAGAGAGGGAGGGAGGGAGGGAGGGAGGGAACTCTGAAAAGGTCAGGAGGGAGGTGAAGGTGCGGGTTCTATGAAAGAACCCCGTAACTGAGTCTAATCTCTTCAACAGAAACTCAGCAGACTAGCTCAAAACCCCACCAAATGCCTCCATTCTCATAGCGACCCCTCAGCCTTTGATCCAACTCCCCCCTCTCTCCCCCCCCCCTCCCTTTCCCTCACGTGCAGGTGGCACAGGAAGGCGGTCTGAGCGTGCGGGTTGGCCTGCGCGGCCTGTGCAGCACTGTTGGCGGCGTCCAGGGGCGTGAGCGCCAGCCCCCACACTGCAAGCGCCTCCGATAACACCTGCGCGCGCGGGGGAGGGAGGCGGAGAGGGAGAGGGAGAGGGAGAGGGAGAGGGAGGGGGGGGGGGGAGGGTGAGGGAAACAGGGAGAGAACTGGAACGAGGGAAGGTGTGGCGTCGGGTACGTGATGGGATAGAAGCAAAGGAAAGAGACCAAGGCGCATGTCAGCTAGTCGATGCACGCTGCATGACGACTATACAGCAAACTTCACTACGGCATGGCAAGCTAACAAGAAGCACCACACGGCACCGCATGGCACGGCAGAGCACGGCACGGCACGGCACAGCACGGCGCGCACCTGAATGCTGAAATCCCCATCCGCCGCCGCGTTCTCCGACTCTCCGCCGCTCCCCCCTTCCGCGCCCTCCGCGCCCCCGCCGCCCCCCTCGCCCGCGCCGCCCTCCGCCATGACGGCGCGCTCGCGGCGGTCGAGCCCCTCGGCGATGGCGGCGAGGTCGGCGGCGTCGAAGAGCGGCGCCTGCAACAGCGCGTTCAGGCAGTGCACGCCGCACAGCGCCGCGTCCTGCCGCTCGTGGTACAGCCGCACCGCGCCGGGCGGCTGCTGCTGCTGCGGGTGCTGGTGGTTCTGGTAGTGATCGGCCATTTCGGCTTGCTTGCTTGCTTGCTCGTGTGCCTGCTTACACCGTAGAAGCACGGTCGACGGTGGACGACGATGAGAACAGGCGGCGCGCACGAGACGACGGCCGTTCAGAAACACGGAGTGGTAAACCGCGCAGAAAATACAGGACTCCGGAGTGGGAAATCTCACGGAGTGGGAAATCTCAAATGCACCTTGAATTCTCGGTTTCTACGTCGCAACTCGCGATGATGGCAGCAACGGTCGGAGACCTACAGACTAACAGATCCCGCGAGACGAGAGGAGGCAGCGAGACCAGGGAGGATAGGGCGAGAGAGGGAGCGCGGTGAGAGGTCCAGGTAAGATCAGATCACATCAAAACGACGGATCGGAAATATGCGGTGCTGTCGGTGTAAGTGACAGGCTGGTTCTCTCGCATCGGTTTGCTGACTTAGGGCGTGTAAAATCGCTGCACCTAAAAATTCGGCCACAAGCCGAATGGCCGAATTGGCGAAAGTAACCCGTTTACGAGTTTCACGAAGATGCTCGCGACCATCGCAAATTTCGCGAATAAAAAACGAAATTGATGGCCGTTTTGAAAGTCGACTCGAATTCGACACCATGTCGACTCCAATTCGGCCAAGTAGTCGACTCCGTGAGCGACTGTCACGTGCGACGTCGCACAGTCTCGCAGAACGACAGATTATTTTCTCTTGTCGAATCAGAGACTTCGCCGTCATATGTGCGACCCCGTCGCACAAACGTTCCTACTGTAGCACTTGCAAATTTTAGGGTGTGTAAGATCCCCGTGCACACCAATTCGGCCTTCAAAATTAAGTGGCCGTCGCGAAAGTAACCATTTCGCGACGGTCGTCTATAGCTCTGCGAATCTCGCCAATCTCGACCATCAAATTTGTGATTTTTCGACACACGGTCGACTTCAAATCGGCCATGTAGTCGACAACTGCTGGCTACAGTGAAAAAAACCCGGCAAAAACCCCATTTTTTAAAATGCACGCCGATTTTACACGCCCTAAGTGACGAGATGCGAGGAAGACCGAAAGATGCTGCTAATCTAGAGACGATAGTGGCAAGTTTACGGCTCACAGAACGGTGTTCACAACGTGACTGACACGCCAAAGACACCGCACCACCAGTCCAGCTGAAGCGAGTTCATTCCTAGCGAGCTGAGCGAACAGCTCCCAACCCAGAAGACCTGGATCTGTACATGCGAAACCTCTCGTTGAGGCATTGTTACCACATATCCGTATCCCATATGTTTCGCTCAAGCCAGTCCCGCAATTGGTGACTGGTGTAGCTAGGGAAACACAATCACAAATATATATAATTTACATCACAAACAAATGAAAACAAATAGCTGTGCTACAGTACATCAAGCATGTACTAAGTACACACGAGTCAGTCCATTTCAATTTCCTCTACACCAGGCACCTGCCCCTCAATAAAGCAGCGGGATCCGGCAGGCAAATGCGGGCACCGACTTGCACAGGGTTGAGGCATTCGTAGCCGTTGATTTGCCGGAAGCAGTCGTGACTTCCACCAAAGGATTTAGGCAGTATGGTGTCACACGTGTCAGCCTTGAGAATGATGTACGGCCGCGGACAGGTGGGGATCTGCGGGTCGTACACGTCCGCCCAGCACACCTGAGAATGTGGTGGGGGAAGGTGGGCAGGTAAGTCAAGGGGAACGAGAGAGCTGAACGCGCGTGGCCTGAAAAGCTAGGCGGGCAGACAAGCAGGTTGAAACTTATTCAGAGCGCAAATACAAAAAGGCTAGCCCTCATGACATGCATGGAAAAGGAGAGAACAATCTTATGTGAAAATCACTAGGAGCTGAGATGGGGCTAGTCCATGGAGACAGAAAGGACACAACCAAGGGATCCTGGACTGGTCACCCTGGCCTGGTCTGGCTAACACCCCCCTTGACTGGCCACTCACGTCATAATTGGGGATGACAGCAGCAGAGGCGGGCACAGGCAGGGCGATGCGGTCGCAGAGAATCCCCGGGTTCAGCTGGTACAGCTCCTCCACACTCATACCGCCCGCCACCGTCTTCCGCAGCACGTCACACGTCTCTCCCGGCGCCACCGTGTGCACGTGCGGGCACGCTGGCACTCTTGGCACGTATAAATAATCCACCTTCACGCACACCGAGAGGTACGCAGGGAGAGTGCCGTCTGTGTCTGCGCTGCAGTCGAGCCCGGGGTTGATGGCCTGGAGAGCGGTCTTGCATGGCTTGACGCATGCTGTGGTGGAGGGGGATGTGCATGGATCCCCCTGTATGGGATCGCAGGTGTCTGTGAGGGCGTGCCGTGTGGCTATGGATAGACATGTGTCGCCCTGTGAGGGGGAGGGGTGAGGTGGAGATATGGGATGGGGGGTGGAGGTTTGGAGGGAGTGGGGAGGGAGGGGGAAGGGGGAAAGAGAGTGATGAAGAGAGGTGAGTGAGAGGGGAGGCAGGTAGGGGCGACTTGTGGATTGCAAAAGAATGGGGCAGGAGAGGATGGGTTGAGCGCTGGGATGCAGGTACATGTGAACGATGTGGCAAATGGCAGAAACGGGAAGGGGAGAGAGGAAAGCGGGAAGGAGAGCAAGGGAGATCGGAGTACTGCAGAGCAGGTGGGGGTGTTCCCTGGGTTCACAGCATCGGCGGTATGGCAGGCTACTATCTTCTCTACTGGAGTCGAAAGTTGAGGCGAGTGTTGCGTGGAGTGAGTGAGAGGCAGTGGGCTCACAGCAGCGGTGGTGTAGAAGGCGGAGCAGGGGGAGAGCGAGGAAGTGGACGTGATGGTGACGGTGGTGTTGACTGCTATGGGCGCACTGCAGCTCAACGCCTGCTCACAGTCGTGCACATGGCAGGGAGGAAGGGAGGGAAAGAGGGAGGAGAACAGGTGAAACCTTGCCCATGCAGAGAGACAGTGAGCGTGAAAAGAGAGCATGCGAATCGAGCAGCACATGCATGCATGGAGGTGGGTTAACCTGGTGCGAGGGCGATGGAATGATGTGACATGATGGAGTGAGGGCGGGCGTGCAGAGGGGTGGGTACCGGGTTGAGGGTCTTGAGCTGTTGCAGTGTGAGGCCCACGGTCTGGTGCACATGCGCACACGTCACTCCCCCTCCCCTCACCACGTAGCTCGTCGCCACCGTGAGCGCTGGCATGGCAGGGTGCGGTGGGGTGGGGCAGAGTGGAGTGTGGTGAGGTGGGATGGGTTGGGGTAGGGTGGGGCGGGAGGGAAGGGAGGGAAGGAGGGAGGGGAGGATTCGCGAGAAAGGGAAGGCGGGGGAAAGAGTGGGGTGGGAGCGGGGAGGGAACGAGGAGGGGAAACGGGGGGGAGAGAGGGGATGGGGGAAGGGACACGCAGAGGAGGAAGTGATGGGAGAGATTAACCGGGTATGGGAGGAGGAGTGGCAACGCGAATGATTACAGGGAGCACAGGAGAAGGCAGGCAGAGCACGGGAGAAGGTACCTGGAGCACAGGAGAAGGCGCCATCAACAGTGGTGCCTTGAATATATCCCCGTGGACACACACACGAGTACGACCCCGCCCCGTCATTCACACACGTGCCCACCCCACACGGGTTAAAGCCTGCCGCCCCACACACGTCCACTGCACACAGGCCAACGGGTGCGGTGAGGGTTGGGGGGGGGAAAGGGTGAGGGGAGGGGGGAAGGGGGGAGGGATGAGATGTCATAATCAGGTAAGGAGGGAGGGGGGAGCGTTGGGGAAAGGGGGGTAGGGGTGGGGGGTAGTGATGATCAGGTGACTTTGACTCGCCTATGTTGAAGAGATGAGTGAACGTTTGCAATGGGCAAGAGGGTGAGATGGCGCGCGCGGCAAGGGGGAGGAGGCAGGGAGCAGGGGGCGGCATAGACGAGACAGCACAATGGGAAGGAAGGGAGGTGCTTTAGAAGGAGTGTGGAGTGGAAGAGAGCCCATCGGTGGGAATCACAGCACAAGGGTTTGAAAGTATTCGAGCAGCGAGGGAGGGAGCAGAGCAGGGTAGAGCAGAGCGGAGCAGAGAGAGAAGAGAAGAGAAGAGAAGAGAAGAGAAGAGAAGAGAAGAGAAGAGAAGAGAAGAGAAGAGAAGAGAAGAAGAGAGAGAAGAGAAGAGAAGGGAAGAGAAGAAAGAGAGAGAAGAGAAGAGAAGAGAAGAGAAGAGAAGAGAAGAGCAGAGCAGAGCATGGAAGAACGGAGCGGAGCAGAGAGCAGGCGGAAAGAGCAGGAGGGGGCACGGCACGGCACGGTACGCACCGAGGGTGCAGGTGCGGGAGCCATCGAGGTTGGTGGCCTGCACGTAGACAGTGCCGTCGCAGTCACACGTGTTGCTGGTGCCCACCACCGTGCATGCAAAGCCCCCACACGGTTCGCCAGCGGCGTTCCGTCTGCTTGCACGATGTCGCTGTTGCACGCGTCAGATGATGCTGCAGGGGCACGCGGGGGCAGAGGGGGGGGGGGGTCAGGGGGCAAGGGGAGGCGACGGGAGGAGATGGGCGCAGGGGAGACGGGCAAAGGAGGGGGAGGAGGGGGAGGAGAAGAGCAGGGGGAAGGCCGGGCAAGGGGGGAGAGAGAGCGAGGGGGCGTTAAGGAGACATGGAGATGGAGAGGGGCGGGTAGATAGACAGGGACAGAGCGATGTGTTGTGTTGAGAAGTAGGGGAGGGGGGGCAGCAGCGATTCGTAACTGGGATGAGGATGCCTGCATGCATACGTGGATGGCCCACAGGGAACGGGAGGAGCGGTGCGTGTGGAAAGGGAGGGAAGGGCAGGGAACAGGTATGTCAAAAGAAAAAGGAAGAAAAAATGAAAGAAAGAAGAAGAAGAAAAACAAACAAACGAAGCTGCCGGGCCAAAGGAAGGGGTTTAGGGTTGGGCAAGGAGGGAGAGATGGGCGGGGGGGGGAACAGGCAAGGGAGGGGAGGCGGGGAGGAGAGCGTGGTGATGGGGGGGGAGACGGGCAGGGAATGAGAGCGAGAGAGGGGGGGGTGACACGGAGGCGTCGAGATGGAGAAAGACAATTCAGAGACACATGGAAGTTTGGGCGGACAGAGGGGGAAGGGCGGGAGAGGGATATGTGGGTGGAACAAAGTAGAGGCGGCTTTCAAATGAAGGGAGCATATAAGAGCAGTGCCGAGCCGACAGAGGAAGGGTGTGGAAAGGAGAGATGTGTGTGTGCCCCCTCGCCCTCTGCCACTACCCCATATGCCAGCCATGCCACTCCACTCCACTTCGTCCCACTCTCCTCCCCCAATCCCCAATGTACATACCCATCCGCCCTCCTTCCTTCCACCCTCCCGTTCGCCCACACCCCCTCCCTTTCCCCCCTTCCCCTTCATCCCCATCACTCCCCACTCCCTTCACCCATCCCCTCCTCCCATTCCCGCCCACGCAACCCCAGCAGCCACCCAACGCACATCGAACGATGGGGTAGACGCCAGGCAGAGTGTTGATGCCGCACACACCGTACCCGCCCTGCATGTCCATGCGCATGTGGCCCCCGTCGCCCCACCCGTCACCCCACGAGTTGCGGATGATCAGTAGGGCGGTGCGATGTGTGGGAGGGCGGGGTCGGTGCCTGAGAGGCGGTACCCCCACCACTAGCACCGCGTGGTTGGGCGCGAAGGTGAAACACGCCGGGTCCTGGTACTTGAACAGCTGCGGGGAGGGGGAGGGGGGGGGGCGCGGGGTGGGGGGGAGAGGGGAAGGAGAGGACGGGGGGAGAAGAGTGTGGGAGGAGAGACGGATGCATTGGTTACTGGAGCAATGGAAAGAAGTGGGAGCAGAGGCAACGGGAAAGGGAGAGATATTGAGAGACACGGCACGACGAGGTCTGTGAGCTAAGCAGTGCAGCAGACAGGGGATTGTGCTGTCAATCCAGTGCAGCAGCAACAAACACAACAGCATAGCAATGGCAACAGCACAGACCACAGCAGCAGCACAGCAACCCAGCGGGCAGCAGACGCACCCCATTGTAGGAGATGAAGGAGGGGCGCGGTGGCCTGGATGACCACCACCACTGGCTGCTGCTGCACCGCCAGCAGCAGCCCGAACCACCCCATGCCGGGCGCGCGCTCCCAGCCCGCTATGGGGAACGTGGGCACCTGTGCATGGCGGGAGGTGGG